TGTGCTGTTGCTGCTGCTGCTGCTGCTGCTGCTGCTGCTGCTGCTGCTGCAGTGCATTTGGGAAGCCTCTCCTTGCTTTGAAGACGCCCAGCAATTTCCTCAAGCATGTCTATACTAACAAGTGCATGCGTCTTTATATATTAAATATACTTCGTGTTATGTCTATTATATTATATTTTATCTATAATAACTTATAACAGATATGTTTATATATTATATATTATTTACTATAGCTTGTACATTATTATTAAATAATAAAATATTATAAAGTAAATACTATATACAGTATAATATTACGTATGGTGTATATAATATATATTATATATAACATAATATATATTATATACACCTTAAAATATGCCTCCACTTGCATGCATGCATTCACCTGCATGCACGCATGTACTTGCATGCATGCATTCACTTGCATGCATGCATTCACTTGCATGCATTCATTTGCATGCATGCATGCACTTGCACGCATTCACCTGCATGCATGCACTTGCATGCATGCATGCATTCACTTGCATGCATGCATACATTCACTTGCATGCATGCATGCGTTTGGGGCTTGCAGCTGCCTGAAGGCCCTGCCTTTTGGCTGCAAAGGAACGGCTTAAGTGTCGAGCCGCCCCCTGAGAGCATTCCTCTCTTACAAGTGCGTTGGCTTTGTTCTGCTGCTGCTGCTGCTGCTACTGCTGCTACTACTGCTGCTGCTGCTGCTGCTGCTGCTGCTGCTGCTGCTGCTGCTGCAAGGGATGCGGGTACTTGGGCCCTCTGTATGCCCTGCAGGAGACGCGAGAGATATTGCAGGCCTCAGAGCGATGAAGTGTCTCTAAAGGCAACTGCGACAGCAGCGGCAGCAGCAGCAGCAACTGCATCAGCAGCAACTGCAGCAGCAGGTCGAACAAGAGCTGCAGCAACAACTGCACCGATAGCTGCAGCAGTAGCTGTTAGTGTAGCTAAGTAAAAATCCCCCTCTCTAGGGGGTGATGCAATAACAAACTGCGATTGCTGCTGTTGCTGCTGCTGCTGTTGGTGCAGCAGCAACAACAGCAGCAGTAATTATAACTATCGGGGAGACACAGAGACTGTCTCCTTCTGTGCATGCAATTCGGGTCTTGTAGGGCTGCACAGAGGCCACTAGCAGCAGCAGCAGCAGCAGCATCAACAGCTGCTGCTGCTGCTACTGCTGCGGCTGCTGCTGCTGCTGCTGCATGAATCTAATATATGAAGCGCTGCAGCAGCCCTGCTGCTTTCTAAGTATTATTGTCTAATTGCTGGACAGGCAGAAGGAGACAGAAGAAGAGAGTGTCTCCTTCGCCTTCTTTAGGCGTTCCCCCATTGTTCCTGCTGCAGCTGCTGCTGCTGCTGCTGCTGCTGCTGCTGCTGCTGCTTTAATGCAGCAACTGTAGCACCCTTAGGTATAAGAAACCTCCACAAGTCAGTGCAGGTGAAGATGCCTTTTACGTGTCCCCTGCAGGAGACAAAAGAGACAAACAAAACGCACTAACACACACCTAGACAGCTACCTAGCTAGCTAGCTAGCTATCTGGCAAGCTAGCTAGCTATCTGGCTAGCTAGCTAGCTATCTGGCTATCTGGCTAGCTATCTGGCTAGCTATCTGGCTAGCTATCTGGCTAGCTAGCTAGCTATCTGGCTAGCTAGCCAGCCAGATAAAGAAAGAGACAAAGAAAGAGATAAAGAAAGAGAAACAGAAAGAGACACAAGCAAACAAACAAACAAACAAACAAACAAACAAACATATAAACAAATAAACAAATAAACAAATAAACAAATAAACAAAAGAAAGAGATAAAGATAAGAAGTAAAGCTGAGGGGGCTTACTCCTCTGATAAGAAGATAGCCTTCTGCTCGTCGCTGAACAGCAGCAACTCAATTGCCTGCTGCACTGTCAAGGAGACAGCTTCTTTAGGCTTCAGCTGCAGCAGCAGCAGCAAATAAAAACAAAATAATTATTATAATATAAATATATATACATATATATATATATATAAACGCATGCACGTACATATATACTCGCGGAGGAGACAAAAAGATTTAAACAGGAGGAGACGAAGACAAAAAAATAAACAAAGAGAGACAAAGACAGAGACAGAGACAGAAAAAAGAAAGGAGACACAGAAAGAAGCAGAGGCAGAGACAGAGACAGAGAGAGTCAGAGACAGAGACAGATAGAAAGAGAGACAGAGAGAGCGGCAGAGAGAGAGAGAGAGAGACAGAGACAGAAGCAGAGACAGAGACAGAGGTAGAGAGAGAGAGAGAGAGAGAGAGAGAGATCAGAAAGAAAAGGAGACAGACAAAAGGAGACAGCAAATGACGCATAAAACGAAAGAAACAGAAAAGAAGACGAACAAAATAAACAGAGACAGAGACAAAGACAAATAAAAGGAGGCAAATAAAAGCAAAGAGAGACAGAGACAAAGAAACGGAGAAGGAGACAAATAAAAAGCAAAGAGACAGACAGAGGCTTACAACACCCCGGTAGACAGTATGTATATTTCCTGCTGCATTTAGGCGGCTAAGTGCTGCTGCACTTGTGACGCCTCTCCTGCTGCTGCTGGTGCTGCTGGTGCTGATGCTGGTAGTGCTGCTGCCGTTGCTGCTGGGGGAAGACGACGGCAGCAGCTGTACATCGCTGCTAGCTGCTGCTGCTGCTGCTGCTGCTTGTGCTAGCATGCGGTGCTGCCGCTGCAGCTGCTGGAATTGCTGCAGATACACTGCAACAGGCAGCGTAAGATCTAAGGTAAGCTGCGCATACACCCGAAATCAAACGCATGCAAACAGCAGCTTTGGGGCTGTCTCTAGCAGCATTTGTTTGTCTCTTCATAGCCGCTCTCCTCTCCTTTTCTGTCGGTGTTGCTTCTCGCTCTGTCTGCTCTAGGGTTTAGGGTTTAGGGTTTAGGGGTTTAAGGCTTGATAAGCCTTAAACCCCTAAACCCTAAACTACAGACCCCTATGGGGTCTGTAGTTTTTCTGTCTCTTCTTTGTTTGTCTCTCTTTCTCTATTTGTCTCCTTCTTAACTATTTATTTATTTATTTGTCTCCTTTTTAATTACTTTTATTTATTTTTATTTTAATTTATTTTTCTTACACCATCATTCATCAGCTTCAGCACAACGGCGAAAAAATGCTCGAGAGAGAAAACAGAAACATAAACGCCTGCAGCAGAAGCAGCAGCAGCAGCAGCAGCAGTAGCACCACCACCAGCAGCAGCACCAGCAGTAGCACCAGCAGCAGTAGCAGCAGTAGCAGCACCGCCAGCACCAGCAGCAGCCGTAGCACCAGCACCAGCAGCAGCAGCAGTAGCACCAGCAGCAGTAGCAGCACCAGCAGCAGCAGTAGCACCAGAAGCAGCAACGGCAGCAGCAGCAGCAGCACCGGCAACAGCAGCAGCAGCAGCAGCAGCAGCACCTACCCTTTGCGTCAACAAGCGGAATAGAAGAAAACCCCGTCTCCACTGCCACAGATAAAAAACCCTCGGTGCTGTCGTCTACGCAGTACGTCACCAGATTTTCGTACGTCCCTAGCTGCAGCAGCAGCAGCAGCAGCAGCAGCAGCAGCAGCAGCAGAGGCAGCAGTCACATAACGCACAGGAACGCTGAAAAATCAACAGCAGCAGCACAAGCAGCAGGCGAGAAGCAGCAGCAACAGCTGCACCTGCACACGCAGCAGCACGAACACCAACGGCAACAGCACGAGCACCAGCAACAGCAATAGCAGCTGCAGCAGCAGCAACAGCAGCAGCAGCAGCAGCAGCAAGCGCTCACTTTAGCGTCTAAGACATTCGTAGAAAGGATTGGGTGCGACCCCTGCAGCTGCGAAAGAAGAGACAGAAGAAAAGACATGCAGAGATTCAGTGCACGTGCCTCTGCTGCTGCTGCTTCAGCTGCTGCTCCTGCTGCTGCTGCTTCTGCTGCTGCTGCTGCTGCTGCTGCTGCTTACCTCTCTGACTAGGTGAACAAGGAAAGCGTAGGCAGAGACGAGAGCCAAAGGGGCTCTCCTACCCTCATTCACAACGCACAAATACGGAGCGCTGCAAACACAACAAAGCAAGATGTTGCTGCTGCTGCTGCTGCTGCTGCTCTTACAGTCGGTGTTGCTGCTGCTACTGATCCAGCTCTTACAGTTCATGAACCTGGTGCTGCTGTTTCTGTTGCTCTTACAGATGGTGCTACTGGCTACTGGTGCTGCTGCTGTTGCTGCTGTTCCTGCTGCACTTGGTCTTACAGTTGGTGCTGCTCCTGCTGCTGCTGCTGCTGCTACTGCTGCTGCTGCTGCTGCTTACCCGCTATCGAGGAGCTGTAGGAGGGCCGTAGCGCAGTCACAGTCAGGAAGCACCCGCTGAATCCCTTCTAGAGAACCTCCGCAAATATCTGCAGCAGCAGCAGCAGCAACAGCAGCAACAGCAGCACCAGCAGCAGCAGCAAACGAGATGAAAGAAAGAACAGCAACAGCATGGCCAACACCTGCAGCAGCGAAGCAGCTGCTTCCCCGAGCAGCTTGCTCGTTCAGGCAGCAGCAAAGATGCTGCTGCTGCTTGTGATGTCTCTGCTGCTCCTAGTTTGCAGCAGCAGCAGCAGCAGCAGCAACTACCCATCACTCACTACGCCTCCAGCAGCAGACGCTGCAGAGAGCTCCCCGAACAAAAGTAGCCACAACAGCAACAGCAGCAGCAGAACCAGCAGCAGCAGTAGCAACGACAACAAGAGCAACAACAAGAGCAGAAGCAATAGCAGCAGCAGCAATTGCAGCAGCAGCAGCAGCAGCAGCTTACTGCGAAGAGCATCCAGAGAAAGGGACCAGGGGCAGGCTGCGTCTTCACTATCTAAAGCACCGATTGCATCACAAGGAATGTCGTCTTGCTGCTCCGTGCTGCTGCTGCTGCTGTTGTTGCTGCTGCTGCTGCTAGTATCATCGCCATTGCTGCTGCTTCTATTGCTACCGTTGCTGCTGTTGCAGCTGTTGCTGCTGCTGCCGTTTATTGTCGTTTCATCTTCGCCTGCATCATCTGTGTGTCGAGACGCCTTCGCAGCTGCTGCTGTGCCGCCGCCGCTGCTGCTGCTCCCGCTGTTACTGCTGCTGCTGCTGCTGCTGCTGCTGCTGCTGCTGCTGCTGCTGCGGAGCCAGCGTTGCCAGTGCAGCAAGAAGCGTGCCAAATGAATTGCATCGAGACGACCTATGAATTTTCTTTTTGTCTCCGAATACACCCAAACCCCGCGGCAGCTGCAGCAGCGAACTTGCCCTGGGCCCCCACAACATGAAGACTCAGCCTGGCTGCTGCTGCTGCTGCTGCTGCTGCTGCTAGTGCTGCTGCTGCTATTGCTGCTGCTATTGCTGCTGCTATTGCTGCTGCTATTGCTGCTGCTAGTGCTTCCAGCTGTGCTGCTCGAGCACGAGTCGCTGTCGTTTGCAACCCCGTCCTTTCTTAGCGCCGACTGTTGCTGCTGCTGCTGCTGCTGCTGCTGGTCTGGATCTGGGGGCAGTATGTGGCAGCAGAGCAGAGAAGTGCAGCCAAATTGTCCAAGAGCAGTAAACGCTGTGTGTATCTGAAGCCTCCTCTCAACAATTATTTGTTTGCAGCAAGGCGGAGATATTTCGCTTATAAGACAGTTCGAGAGACACTCCAGCACTCGTTCTCTGCTGCTGCTGTCAGGGTCGCTGCTGCACAAAGCAAGGCCCCCACCTCCTCCACCCTTCACCCTGCTGCTGCTGCTGCTGCTGCTGCTGCTGCTGCTGGATTGGTGGTGGTGGTGGTGGTGGTGGTGATGCGGGGGCGGGTTGTTGCTGTTGCTGTCGTTGTTGTTGCTGTTGCTGTTGCTGCTGCTGCTGCTGCTGCTGCTGCTGCTGCTGCTGCTGCTGCCGCTGTGGTTGTTGTTGTTGCTCTTGCTGCTGCCGTTGCTCTCCGGATCGCTCCCACCAATATCATCAGGAACGACGGAAACACCGTTCGTGCTGCTGCTGCTGCTGCTGTTGCTGCTGCTGCTGCTGCTATTTTGGGATCTAAAGGCTATATCTGCTGCAGTGGCTGCTGCAGTCACTGCAGCAGCAACTGCAGTGGTAGCTGCTGCTGCCTTTAGCGTGGCTGCTGCAGCTCCTGCAGCTCCTCCGGCGGGTACAGGATTTTCATCTGCTGCTGCTGCAGGTGCTGCTGCGGCAGCTGCTGCTGCTGCAGCAGCAGATTGAGGCAGGCCCAGGCCGCCTGACCCCTCATTCGCCATTAGAGCTTACTGCTGCTCCGCTGCCGCTGCTGATGCTGCTGCTCTGCTGCTGCTGCTTTGCTGCTACTGCTTTGCTGCTGCCACTGTGCTGCTGCTCTGCTGCTGCTGTGCTGCTGCGCTGCTGCAGTAGAGCATCCCCCAAAGCCGCAGCAGCGGCAGAAGCGCTACGTGCTGCAGCGAACGCAAAAGCAGCAGCAGCAGCAGCAGTTTTTGTTGTTGCTGCTTCTGGGTGATGTACAGGGGGAGGGAATGGCTTGCTGACTGACGGGAAGGAGGAGCTGCTGCTGCTGCCGTTGCTGCTGCTTTTGCTGCGCTGCTGCAACCTTCCGGGCTGTATGCACCAATATAACGCCAATATGAAACGCTGCTGCTGCTGCTGCTCTCAGTATGATGCTGTCTACTGCTGCTGCAGCAGCGTTTCTGCTGCTGCGGCAGCCGTGGCGCTGCAGCGGCACAGCCAAGCGTTTAAGAGAGGGTTGCTGCTGCAGTTGCTGCTGCTGCTGCTTCTCGCTGTGTTTCTGTCGCATGCATTTCTTTGTTTTAAATATAAATAAACAGAGGCAATACGACTAATAAACTACACAAGCTGTATGCTGGCTTAAGTCTCCCGCTGCTGCTGCTGCAGCAGCAGCAGCAGCAACAACAGCAGCAAGCAGCCGTGGGGCCCCAGCAGCGGTATAGCCAGCCGCAGTGCTGCAGCAAATAAAGCATTAAACAAACCCGTTTACTCTCCTTTTTACTAAATATATTTTAGCGAAAAGCTCTACTTGGTGTCTGTTTTGAGGTGTACGTACACCCGATATTATCAAACAAATAACCCCCGATCGGCCCTTCGAGGCAGCCGACCAGTCGGCGCAGCCAGCCAACCCTAAACCCTAAACCCTAAACCCTAAACCCTAAACCCTAAACCATAAACTCTAACCCTAAACCCTAAGTACCCAAACTTAAACCCTTAACACTAAGATCTAAGCCTTCACCCCTAGGCCCTAAACACTCTAAGCGTTAAACCCTAAACCCTAAACCCTATACCCTAAACCCTAAGCTCTAGCCCTTAAACCCTTAGTCGCGAAACCTAAACTCTTAACCCTAAGCACTCAGCCATCAACCTTAAAGCCTAAACTCTAAAAGTTAAACCCTAAACCCTCAAACATAAACCCTAAACCCTAAACCCTAAATCCTATACCGTATATCCTATGCGCTTAGCTTTTAACCTTAAGCCCTGAAACCCTAAGCATTTAACCCCTGAACCCTGAAGGCTAAACCCTAAACCCTAAACCCTAAATTGCATACCCTGAACCTTGAACACTAAGCCCTAAACAATACGTACTCGACTATAAACGCTAAACCCTAATTCCTAAACCCCAAACAGTTAGCTCTTTGCCCTATACCCTAAACCCTAAACCCTTAACAGTAGACCTACATTCCTAAACCCAAAATATTTAACCCTAAACCCTAAACCCTAAACCCTACGCCCTAAGCATTTAAAGCAGAGACTCTCAACATCGAACGGCAGACCTCAGTAATGAAAGCCTAATATTGGCGTATTATCCCTAACCCTAAACCCTAAACCCTAGGCCTCAACCCTAAACCCTAAACCCTAGTCTTCAACCCAAACCGCACACATTAACCCTAAACCCTAAACCCTAGATATTTGACCGTAAACACTAAACCCTAACCCCCCTCCGTTTAAACAACCTCAACCATAAACCCTAGGCTGCAAATAGCGAGCAGCACACGCTGTTAACACTGATATTCAAGAAGCCTCAAGCTGCTGTAGCAAATGTTTCTGCATGCCCTTCCTGGTGTATGCACAGTGAAGATGCTCGGCAATGAGAAGATGTGGAGGAGAAAACAAACAATTAACTGAATAAACAAATGTTTAAATAAATAAACAAATGCTTACGTAGACAGATAAACACTTAAATAATAATAAACAAACATCTAAATAAACAAAAGAAGAAAAAACAATGAGAGGAAATAAAAACAACAGTTGCAGCCCCCTAGAGCGCTATGAGAAGGTTCTTGAGGTGTATATGCACCTCTCAACTGAACTGTCATCGTGTATGCAACATCAAATAAGAAACAATAACAGCAAATAAACAGCACTACAAATAACCCCATATCAACAGCGGCAGTTGTACAGTACAGTGTATAACATGCAATTCTTAATACATCTTTTGCTGTATATTTTATATGATGTGGGCAGATAATATTTAATGTAATATTATATTATACTGTAGTATACTATTCTACATACTTTGTTTATTGTAAAGTATATTATACCTTGATGGTTGTACACTCTACTAAACATTGTTTGTTGCGTATTGTACAATATTGTGCTATTTTATGCTATATACTATATGATCTTATCTTATCCTATATAATGGGTTGTTGTATTATATATGTTATATTATATTATGTTGTCTGCTATTATAGTGCATGCAAGGCTTGCATGCGTTGTTGCTGCTTTGTAGAAGGAGTGGGAGACAGAAGGTGAGCTGCAGACCACGAGAGAGAAACTGTCTCCTCTTCTGTCTCCTTAGAAAAAAGCTGTCTATGTTTTTTCTGTCTCCTCTCCAACACACTCTGCCACGGTTTCAATCTCTCTAGACTGAGTATCTCTTGTCTGCTGTCTTGATACATAATCTGCTTCTTTCTCTGTCTTAATCTGTCTCTATCTTCATTGCCGCTGCTCCTACTCACCAGCAGCGTGCATGCTCTTTCGCTGTTGTCTCCAGCAACTCTCTAGACAAAAGGAGAATAATAAATCAGCTGCCGCCCTTCGTATAAAGTATTTGTTCAACAAGTCTTTTCAATGCAGCAGACTGACTACAGCAGCAGCAACAGCCACAGCAAACAGAGGGACAGCACCAGACAGCAAATGAGAGATTGCGCTACTAAATAAGAAGCGGCAATTATTAATATCATTAAAATTACTAGTGCTAATATTATATTATCATCGTTGTTATTTGCTTCCTAACATCCAACCGGTGCCTGATCTGCTGCGAACGCAAAATGCATGTAGTTGAGGCTGGAGTAGCAGAAGAGAGGTAGGGTTAAGCAACAGTACACACGAAGACATTTGCTAGAAGGAAGGAGATCTCTTCTTTAACCCCGGGAGTCTTTGAGTATTGTTGCCCAAACGGCTGGGGCTGGCGGAGAGAAGCGGTGGCCTGAGATGAGTTGAAGTGCGCCGCTTGCAACAAACGCTTCGCAGCTCTTTCTTACTGCCTCTCTGTTTGCTGTTTGCAGCAGCACTGGAGACAATTGCTATGCTTTTGCTTGTCTATAGGCTGCCTCTTAAGGCAAACAAACCATGCTACATCTGCCCCCGCCTCTCCCGCAAATAGCACACACTCTTTTGAGCTTAGTCAGCGAAAGGGTGTTGCTTTGCTGTCTTAATTTACTTCTTTTCTTCTTCAGCCGAAGCTTCTTCCAGTTGCACATGTAGCAGTTATACCGCAGCAACAGGCCCTATAGGAGCTACTCTTCAAGGTAATACAACCCCCTCCTCAATCAAAGTCTCACTTACCCTCATAGTTTTGCAGATACATCTACCGTGTCAGCCATCCGCAAGGCTTAGTCTTAGAGACTGCACCAGCGAATAGACAAGTAAGTTGCTTGTCCCTCTTCACCGCAGCCTCAGTTGTTGTCTTTCTGTAGCTCAACCTGTTACCGACTGCCTTTTCTTTAATGCCTTCCTTCAAGCGATATCTCTGCTTGTCTTCAATGACGCCTTGTTATGGAGGTTGCAAGCCCGCCATTGTCCTTGTGTTTATCAGGTATTATTAATGCTTCTTGATCAAGAGTTATACTTATGAAGACCTTTCTTTTATTCTTCTCAGCCCCATCTCCTGTTAGCCTGTTATATGCATGCTGATCTGGGAATACACCTACACCGCAACGCATGCATTAAGCCTTCCATATCTTGAACAGGTGCTGGAGAAGAGGCGGTCTTGTTAATATATACCCAATATTATTGCGCCTCCTCTTCTTATAATAAAGAAGCTTTTATCTGCAGCTGCAGCTCGTCAGCTGCTCTCCAGCGACACCTTTACCAGTCATATAAGAAGGGCTGACGAGTATATATATACATATACTCATCATTTATTATTACTACCTCTGCATGCGCAGCAGATAATTAGATGAGATCAATGCAAAGAGGCTCCCAGACGTTGGCCCTAAACCCAGCAGCAGACTGATCCCTATTCATCAGCATAGTGTGCCGCTGGCAGCTGTCTCGTGCTGCTGCTGCTGCTGCTGCTGCACCCCCAAGTGCAGCAAGAGCCCCTGTTGTCTTCTCTAGCGGCCTCAGCTGGCTTCAATCTAGCTAACAGACGTAAGGCAGCAGTTTATTAATAAGCAATGCGTAGTCTCTCCCCTGCCCCCCATATCATCTTGGTAAAGCAAGGGAGACCCTAAGGCCTGCTGCTGCTGCTGCTGCTGCTGCTGCTGCTGCTGCTGGGGGAGGGGAGACAGCTTGCTATGTGCTGCAGCAAATGCTGCAAGGCCATTTATTCTCCTATAAATTCAACCAAACCTTTTGCTGCTGCTATTTTTTCTACCTTTCGAGACAATCGCTGTGCTGCTGTCTCTCCATGCGCTGCATACTACGGTGTAGCAGATATTCTTCTACCAACTCAGGACATACTAAGCTACAGCAGCAGCAGCAACAGCAGCAGCAGCAGCAGTATAAACAACTACGGGAGCTGGAGCAGCAGGACGCAGCGACGGGAGCTGCAGCAACAGCAGCAAACAAATGCATAAATAAATTTAGAAACAATCTGCTAAAGCCCTTTGACGTTTCTTTGCTGCTGCTGCTGCTGTACTCTGGGGTAGCAACGGGAGCAGCAGCAGCTGCGGCTGCAGCTGGTGCATGCTGCTGGTCTGCTGCTGCTGCTGCTGCTGCTGCTGCTGTTGCTGCTGCATGGGATTGTGCTTGTTGTTCCTAGAGGAGACAAGGGACAGGGGGTCTCCTCATTAAAGCGATGTAAGGCAATCTATATCTGGTGTTGTGTTGTTGCAGCAGCAGCCCCGCAGCAACCGTAGCAGCAGCAGCAGCAGCAGCAGCAGCAGCGGCCACCGCAGCGGGAGCAGCAGCAGCTTTGTGTCCCTTTCTTTCCCCGGAGCTTTAAACGGCTAATTATTTGTTGTTTTGCTTCTACAGCTGCTTCTGCTGCTGCAGCAACGCAGCAGGGCCCCCCAGGCTGTACGTCTTTGCCGTGGGCCCCCCTGCGCTGCCAACTCAGCAGCATTAGCAGCAGCAGCAGCAGCAGCAGCAGGATCAGCAGCACCAGCAGCAGCAACACCAGCAACATCAGCAGCAGAGGGCCCTGCACTGCTGCAGCATTCACAGAGCAGCAGAAGATTGCTTTCTTCGCCGCTGCGCCGTTGCTGTCCCCAGGCCTGCTGCAGCAGCAGGAGGAATAACTTAAACAGCTGCTGCTGTTGCTGCTGCTGTTGCTGCAGCGATGTCTCTCCCACCATGGCGATCGAATGCCTCAGGGCCCGCTCAGCCAGGGTAACACAGGACTGCCTCATGCACTGTTGCTGCTGCTGCTGCTGCTGCTATTGCTGTGCTGCTGCTCTTGCTGCTGGTGCCAGTGCTGCTGCTGCCAGTGCTGCTGCTGCTGCACCTGTGTTGATTGCTGCTGTTTTCTTCTGTGTTTTTTTTGCTGCAGCTCAGGATACGGGGCCTCAAGCGCGGATGCTGCTGGGGGGGCCCCCTGGAACCAGCAGCCGCAGCAGCAGCACATGATGATGCAGCAGCAGCAGCAAATTGCACTGCAGCAGCAGCAACTGCATATGCAGCAGCAACGCATGCAGCCGCAGAGACCACAGCCTGAGGACCTGCAGCAGCCGCAGCAGCAGCAGCGCCAGCAGCAGCAGCAGCAGGAGTGGCGGCAGTGGCAGGGCAGCAGTCCATCGATAGCTTCGGCTCCCTGGCATCAGCAGCAGCAGCAGCAACAGAAGCCGCAGCAGCAGCAGCAGCTTCGTGATGCTGCTCCATGGAAGCAACCACATCCTTCGCAGCAGCAGCCAGCAGCAACGGGAGCTCCCTGGCAGCTGCAGCAGCAGCAGCAGCAGCAGCAGCAGCAGCAGGGGGTGGATTCTTACGGCAGGGGGTTTTCTTCTGGTTATCGCGACTACAGTGAGAGGCAGCAGCACCATTCAGAGCAGCCGCCTCACCTGCAGCAGCAGCCCCACCTGCAGCAGCAGCCCCACCTGCAGCAGCAGCAGCAGCAGCAGCAGCAGCAGCAGCTATATGAACTGCAGGAGCAGGAGGATAGGAAGCGGCTAAGGACACCGGGGCCGTGGGAGAGGCGCAGCAACAAATCATTTAGAAGTGAATATCGTTCTTACTCTGCCGCTGATTATGAACAGCAGCAGCAGCAGCAGCCGCAGCAACACATGCAGCACCAGCAGGTGCAGCCGCAGCATTACGATCCCCACCGCCAGCACCCCGGGCTGCAGCACCAACAGCAGCAGCCGCAGCCACAGCAGCAGCAGATGATGCAGCAGCACTCGAATGGTCCTGCTGCTGCACCTTGGCATAGAAGGGGAGACGCAGGTTATGAAGGGGGGGCCCCCAGCAGCAACATGTACGACTACGGCGCTGCTGCTGCTGCAGCGAGCAACAACAGCGCTGCTGCTGGTGCTGCATACGGTGCGCCCGCTGACAGGTACGGTGTGCAGCAGCAGCAGCAGCAGCGGCAGCAGCGAGACAGCTGGAGCGACAGGCCGCAGCAGGACCGAGGGGGGCCCTGGCATAGCTATGATAGACAGAGAGACAGAGACAGAGACAGAGACAGAAATAGAGACAGAGACAGAGACAGAAGCATGAATTCAACAGCAGCAGAGGGTTTAGGGTTTGCTGGTCGGGGGCCCCCGCTGCAGCAAACTGACCCCCGTAGGCGGCAGCAGCAGCAGGACCGCAGCAACTGGGGAGACGACACCAGGTCTGCTGAGGCTTACTTCGGCAGCAGCAGCAGCAGCAGCAGCAGAAGCAGAAGAGACAGCAGCCGCAGGGACAGAGACAGGCTGCCGGGAGATGGGGCCCCCGGCCCAGCAGCAGCAGCAGCAGCAGCAGATACTCCTAGGGAGTGGAGAGAGCGATGGGGGGGCCCCAGCAGAGGAAGAGACAGAGACAGAGACAGAGACAGAGATAGAGACAGAGACAGACAGCCCAGCTACAACGAAGAATCATACTCCTATGATGGTAGGGAGGCGAGAGGCGGGGGCCCCCGCAGCAGCAGCAGCAGCAGCAGCAGCAGGCTGCGGCAGCACAGGGTCCGGGGCGGAGAAGGTGCTGCAGCAGCACATGAACGATACAGAAGCGGCAGCAGCGAGAGACAGCTGTCTCCTCACTCCAGCGGAAGCCGAGCTCGAAGGCCTTCTCCAGAGCTGCAGCAGCAGCAGCACCACCACCAGCAGCTGCAGCAGCAGCAGCTGCATGCACCGCCCCACAGCCGCGGAGGCCCTCCGCCTCGTAGGGGGCCCCCCTTCTATGCTGGTGATGGTGGGGGCCCCTCACGAAGCCGAGACGGGTACAGGTCCTCCCTGCAGCATCAGCAGCAGCAGCAGCAGCAGCAGCAGCAGCAGCAGGTGCATGGGGGTGGCATGTTAGGGTTTGTCGAAAGAGACAGAACAGCTGCTCGAGGACAGCAAGGAGAGCAGCAGATTCAGCCTCATTGGTTAGGGCCCCCTCCACCTCCTGGTGGGGGGGGCCCCCAGATGTACTACGGGGGCCCCCGGCAGTGGAAGGGGCCCCCTGGGGGCCCCCCTCAGCACAGGAGGCACGGGAGCAGCGGTGCTGCTGCTGCTGCTGCTGCTGCAGCAGACACGAGAACAGACAACAGGCGGAGGTTTGGGGGGCCCCCGCGAGAGGGGGGGCCCCTCGCTGGAGACAGCAGCTGGAAGGGGGATGCCCCATACTATGCAAATAAAGCACTCAGTGTTAGAGACAGAATCGGAGAACTGCGCTCCTCCTCGTAAGCCTGCTGCTGCTGTTGCTGCTGCTGTTGCTGCTGTTGTTGCTGCTGTTGCTGCTGCTGTTGCTGTTTATCGTATGCCTAGCGGGATGCTTGCTGAGGGTGTTGGTACAGTTGGCTGTGTAATTGTTGCTGTATTTGCTGCTGTATTTGCTGCTGCTGCTGCTGCTGTTGCTGTTGCTGTTGCGTTTGCTGCAGCAGGGGGGGCCCGGGTACAGAGGTGAAGAGCCCGTGGGTTGTTAGCGATGCGGTGTACGTACACCCGGAGCAGGAGACAGTGCGGATTGTAGATCTCTTCCAGCAGTTTGCTGCTGTTATTAGAGACACTCAAACGAGGCAGCACCGAGAAGAGAGACAGCGGCAGGAGCAGCAGCAGCAGCAAGAGCAGCAAGACCGCAAACAGCAGCAGCAGCTGCAGGAACAGCAACAGGAAAAACCAGAGCAGCCGCAGCAGCACGCGGAGGAGAAGGAGCAGCAGCAGCAGCAGCAGCAGCAAGATCCGCTGCAGGAAAAGAAGGAGCAGACGGAGCAGCAGCAGCAAGAGATGCAGCAGGAGCAGCAGCAGGAGAAGACGGAGCAGCAGCAGGAAAAGACGGAGCAGCAGGAAGATAAGCAGCAGGAGCAGCAGAAGCAGGAGCATGAGCAGCAGGAGCAGCAGCCGAAGGAGGAGCAGCAACAGGAACAGGAGCAGCAGCAGCAGCAGCAGCAAGAGCAGCAGCATTCGGTTTCTGCTTCCTTGACTTCTTCGGGAGATGCGGGTGTATCTCCAGCAGCAGCAAGACCATCACCGGCAGCAGCAACAACAGCAAGACCGGCTGCCTCAGGACCCTTATCATCAGCAGCAGCAGCAACAGCAGCAGCAGCAGCAGCAGCAGCAGCAGGGCGTGCTGCAGCAGAAGAGAAGCGAGTAAACCTCTGGCCTTCTCGCTTACCGAGGCCTTGGAGGGGGGCCCTGGGGCCCCGGCCCCGCCCCGCTTTGCTGCTAACATCTCTTCCTAATCTTCGTTGTTATATTCTGAAAAAGCTGCTGCTGCAGCACTTCAGGAGGTGGAATGCTCCGCCGTGCACGCTGCTGCTCAGTAAGATACGACGTACTGCTGCTGTTGTTGATGCTGCTGATGCTGCTGGTACTGCTGCTGCTGATGCTGTTGGTGCTGCTGCTGCTGCTGCTGCTGCTGTTTGTCTTCGCTTTTTTTTGCCTGCGAGGTTTGTGCATTTGTCTAGAGTTGTTTTCAGGTGTCTCTTGCTGCTGCTATGTGTCTGTCTCCTTTCAGGTGCATGCCCTTCTAGCGGTCGCTGCGCTGGCTGGGGTTTGCTGCTGCTGCAGTCAGCAGATCTGCTGAAGCAGTTCCTGAGGGTGCCGCTCTTTGCTTGGGCAGTGGAAGATGCAGCAGAAACCCTCGCCTCCCTTAGAAAGCAGCAGCAGCAGCAGCAGCAGCAACAGCAGCAGCAGCAGCAACAGCAGCAGCAGCAGGGACAGGGACAGACCCCTACCGCTGCTGCTGCGGGAGACACTCCCGCTGCAGCAGCAGCACAAACTTCTACACCAGCAAACGAAGCTGCATCTCCGGTACCAGCAGATGCAGCAACAGCAGCAGCAGCACCAGCAGCAACGACACCAGCACCAGCAGCAACAACACCAGCACCAGCAGCAGCAACACCGGCAACAGCAGCAACACCAGCAGCAGCAGCGCCACCAGCAGCAGAGCGGAAGCCGAAGGGAGAGAGATGCGTACAACTTCATTTGCTGCTGTGGCCTGAAGGACAACTCCGCATCTGCGCACGCAGTGTGTGCGTCCTTTAGGGTTTAGGGTTTAGGGTTTAGGGTATAGGGTTTAGGGTTTAGTGCTTCCGGTTGGGGGTTTGGGTTTAGGGTTTAGGGTTTAGGATAGGCGTTTGCGTCTCCTCCGCTTTGGGGCCTGTCCATTGCAGCAGCACTCTGGTTTACCTGCTGCTGTTGCTGCTGCTTGTGCTGCTGCTGCTGCTACTGCTGCTGCAGAGAGTCTAGTGCTTCTTTGTGTTGGAGTGAAGCACTTTGCGGGGCCCTCAGCAGAGACGCTCTTGAGGCCTCTCTGGTGTCTCCTCTGCAGCCAGACGCGCCTGCAGCAGCAGGAGCAGCAGCAGCAGCAGCAGCAGAAGACATGAAGGGAGTTGCAGCAGCAGTCGATGCTGCTGGGCTTGTCTTACCTCGTGGGGGGCCGCTGCTGCCTTCTGCTGCTGCTGCTGCTGTAGCTCTGAATAGCTACTGTCTCCTTACAGGGAACAAGGTAGGCTATCTAAATACTGCTGCTGCTGCTGCTGTCGTCGCTACTGCTGCTGCTGTCATTGCTGCTGCTGCTGCTGTTATTGCTGCTGTTGGTTGTTATCTTTTGGTGCTTTTGTTTGTTTCGTTTGCTGCTGCAGCACTTATACTTCAGCTTGCCTCCGGCTGCTCTGCAGCAGCTCGCCGTGCAAGAAGCAACTGCTGCTACAGAGGAGGATGCAGCTGCAGCAGCAGCAGCAACAGATGCAGCAGCAGGTGCAGCAGCAGATGGATCAGCAGCAGAAACAGCAACAGGAGACGCGGGCGGCGCAGCAGCAGCAGAGGGTCGTGCGGACGCCGCAGAGACAAACGACAACAGCAGCAGCAGCAGCAGCAGCAGCAGCAGCGCCAACGACAATGGGACCGAAGAAGCTGCAACAACACCTGCAGCAGCAACAGCTGCAGCAGCAGCAAGCAGCGAGGGGGTCCATCATGAGGGCGAAGCAGAAACGGCTGTGAATTATCAGATTTTGCCTTCAGAGGGAGTCCGTCTTGCTGCTGCTGTTGCTGCTGCTGTTGCTGCTGCTGTTGCTGCTGCTGTTGCTGTCTTATGCTGCTGCAGCGAATCAATTGGGTGCTGCTGCTGGTTTCTGCTGCTGCTTGCTGCAGTCCGTTGCTGTTCGTTGCTGCAGTCTCTGCGCGTGTGTGAGTGCAACGGTTGGCAGTGGTGTGTGGCGCTATATGTTTGCTGCTGCTGCTGCTGCTGCTGTTGCTGCTGCTGCTGCTGCTGCAGGAGGAGACGAGTTGGTTTCCTTGGGGTCTCTTCCTCTCCATTGCTGCGAAGATGTCAGGGGCTTTTGCTTCGGATGCAGTGGACAAGGCCCTCAAGGACCTTCTACAGAAACAAACAGGTGAGACATGCTGCTGCTGCTGTTGCTGCTGCTGCTGCTGCTGCTAGTGCTGCCGCTGCTGCTGTGTCTCTGTCTCCGCTTGTTGCTGCTCTTTGCTTTCGGCTGTCTCTCTGTCTCCTTTTGCGTTTTGCTTCGGTTTTGTTCTCGTGGGTTGGCATCAGCGTGTCTCCTTGGGGCGTGTATGCTGCTCCTGCTGTTGCTGCTGCTGCATTGTTTTTTTTGCTGCTGGGCTGCTGTTGCTGCTGCAGCACGGGGTATATATCCAGCGGAGTGGTTAAGCTACGAAGGTTTTAACTTTCCGAGTCAGTTTACCCTGACCGCTGCACCAGCAGCAACAGCAGCAGCAGCAGGCGATGCGGAACCTGCTGCTGCAGCAGCAGCAGCAGCAAGTGCTGCTGCTGCTAAGGAGACAGAAGGAATGGTTGCTGCCGGCCATTTGCTGCGGGTGCTGCACCTCCCTAACATCCTCACGGGGCATCTCCTCTCGCAGCTCGACGCCTTCCTCGCCTCGTTCGCTGTAAGACAAAGTATTTGCTGCTGCTGCTCTTGCTGCTGCTGCTGTTCTTGCTGCTGCTGCTGTTGGTGTTGCTGTTGCTGCTGCTGCTGCTGCCTTCATAGGTCGTGACGAGGCTGGTGCTGCAGATGGGAGGCAGCCATTGACGCTGTCTCCTCCTATCAGATTCCTTTTAGGGGTGCCAGCTGCAGTTGTTGCTGCTGCTGCTACTGCTGCTGCTGCTGCTGTTGACGAGTGCGTCTTTGTTTGTGTGCTGATCATTGCTGCAGAAGGCACACTGGGGCAGCGCTGCTGCTGCTGCACTGCAGCAGGAGATGTGCGGCTGGCAGCTGTTTGAATTCCCTGAGACTGCGAGGGCCAGAGGAGACGGTTCGTTGCTGCTTCTGCTGCTGCTGCTGCTTTTGCTGCTGCTGCTGCTTTCGCTGTTGCTGCTCTTGCTGCAGCAGCTGTCTCTGGATATGTTTCCCGTGCTGCTGCTGAGTTGGATGGTAGTTTTGCTGCTGCTGTTGTAGGCAGCACCGCATGTTTTGCTGCTGTTGGTGCCTGACTTGCTGCTGCTGCTGCGCTGCGGTGTTGCTGCTGCAGGTTGGCTTTTGCTTCCCAGGTGTATGGACGCCGCAGCAGTTTTGAGGGCCTTAAGCTCTGCTGCTATTGGCGCTCAACGCAGCAGCAACAGCAGCAGCAACAGCAGCAATGCTGCAGCTTCAGACCCAGAAGCAGCAGCAGCAGACTCCACTACAGAGGAAGTTACTGCAGCAGCAGCTGCAGCAGCAGAAACACACGGATTGCTGCTACCTGTCACAGCCTCCTGGTCTGCGTGCGTGGCCTCATCCCACAGCAGCAGCAGCAGCAGCAGCAGCAGCGGGAGCGTTGAGGAGTGTGCTGAGGCCGTGCTGCCTTCCACTTACTTTGGCTTATACCCGCTGCAGCTATCTCGCTCTTTGTTGCTGCGCGACTTGAAGTATATTTGCTGCTTGGGGAATCATTTGCTGCTGCAGCTGCTACACCTGATTGCTGCAGAAGACGCCCTCAACAGCTGCAGCAGCAGCAGCAGCAAAGGTTGCTGCTGCTGCGATAGCAGCAGCGTGTCTCAGGGGTCTGAAGGTCCTCGGTGCGCGTGCAGCAGCAGCAGCAGCAGCACGGGAGCAGCAGGAGGTGGAGGGAAGAGGAAGTCAGGTGCTGCAGCAGATTGGCTGGGTTTGTTGTCTCCTGTGTCTCTGCGTCTGCCGCTACCATTTGCTGTTTCTTCTGTTGCTGCACTTAGCAGCAGCAGCAGCAGCAGCAACGAGGAGGTTGAGGGGCAGCGGCTGCATGCACCGCTTGTGTCTCCTAATCATTTCTTCGAGACATTCTTCTTTTCACAGACTGCAGTCTTTGCTCTGCCGCCAATAGCTTCTTTCTTTTCAAAGAGCAGCAGCAGCAGCAGCAGCAGCAGCAGCAGCAGCAGCAGCAGCACTGACAGCTGCGGGGGGAACGCTGCAGAGCCACAGGCAGCAGCAGCAGCAGCAGCAACCGAAGCAGCAACAGCAGCAGAAAACAGTACAAGGGAGGTCGAAACTGCCTGGAGGCCACACGGGGGAATGCAGAAGCAGCAGCAGCAGCAGCAGCAGGAGGAGGAGGTGTATGAAGTCATTGCGCAGCCATCTGCTGCAGATTTGCATGGATGTTTGCTAACGCCTGAGCTGCTGCTGCAGCTGCAGCAGCAGCAGCAATTTAGGTGGGTAGTGGGCTCAAGGGTTTTTTCTCTTCTGCCTCTCCTGCGTCTATCTACAAGCACCAGCAGCAACTGGAAGAGCAGCTCCACTTGCTGCTGCTGCACTTGCTGCTGCTGCTGCTTGCTGTGTGGTTTCGCCGCTGCCGTGCTTGCTTGCTAATGCTGCTGCTGCGGTTGTTCGGTTGCTGCTGTTGCGATTGCTGCTGTTGATATATATTTGTTGTGGGGATCGTCTGCAGCTGCACTATCTCCTGGAGTGCCTTCATGATGTTTGCTGCTGCTGCTGCTGCTGCTGCTGCTGCAGGTTTGTTCCGTTGTCGGTGTTTCTCTTTACCCCACACCACCGCCGCAGAAGCCACTTCACAGCAGCAGCAGCTCCGCTGCCTGCTCGGAAAACAAGCCAACCGCAGCAGCAGCAGCAGCAGCAGCAGCAGCAGGCACAGCAGCAGCAGCAACAGTGCCAGCAGCAGCAGCAGCAGATGGACTCATCGCAGCGGCATGAGGAGCAGGCGGATCTGCTGCAGCCAGAGGTGCAGCAGCAGCAGCAGCAGCAGCAGCAGCAGGCACCGGATATGCCTCAGGCAGCAGATAGTGGGGCTGCATGCGCTGCAGATATTACAGGGGCCTCAAGGGAGGCAGAAGACTGTGAAGTGCAGCAGCACATGGCAGTCGATGAGCAGCAGCAGCAGCAGCAGCAGCCGCGGGAGGAGCACGAGCAACAGCCGACTCTGATGCAGCAGGACACCGTGTCTGCAGCGCTGGATACATCTCAGCAGCAGCAGCAGCAGCACGACGAGCAGCAGCAGAAGCTGCTGCATCATCCGCAGGAACACCAGCACCAGGAAGCGCTGCAGCAGCAAGAGCTGCAGCAGCAGGAGCCGCAGCAGCAGGAGCTGCAGCGACAGGAGAAAGAAGAAATGGATCAGCAGCAGCAGCACGAGCTGCCGCAGCAGCAGGTGCAGCAAGAGAAGCAGGAACAGCATCAGCAAGAGCAGCAACAAGCGCAGCAGCAGGAAGATGTGCTGTCGCCGCAGCAGCGGGAGACCCTAGCATCGTTGGAGCAGCTGCTGCAGCAATCTGCTGCACAGCCAAATGAAATTGCTGATGTTTCTCCTATTAGCGAGGATCAGAGAGACTCGCCGGAAGCTTAGCAGCAGCAGCAGCCACTGCAGCAGCTACAACTACAGCAGTAGCAGCTGCAGCAGCAGTAACTGCAGCAGCAGCAACTGCAGCAGCAGCAACTGCAGCAGCAGCAACTGCAGCTATACCCGTACTAGCGTAGCAGCGGTAGCAGCAGCAGCAGCAGCAGCAAAACCTTAGCACATGCTGCTGTTAGCTAGGACAGTTGCTTACCTAAACAGCAGCAGCAGCAGCAGCAGGGACAGCAGCAAGTGCCTGTCGTTTGCTACAGCAGACGAGGAAGCTGTCTGCTGCAGTATCTGCTGCTGCTGCATTTTACGGGTGACTCTTTCCTCCTGGACAACTGTTAAGTTGCCTTCATTCGTTTGCCTAACTTGGCTTGCTGCTGCTACTGCTGCTGCTACTGCTGCTGCTGCTGCTACTGCTGCTGCTGCTGCGTGGCGGTGTTTGTGTGTATTTGAGTTGCATCTAAGATTATTTGTTTTGTGTTTGCTTCCTCTGTTTTGTTTGTTTTGTTGTGTGTTAATGCTGAATATCCTCCGTTGCGGTGCTGATGTTTGCTGCTGTCCTTCCTGTCTGCTGCTGCTGCTGCTTCCGCTGCTGCTGTTGCTGTTGCTGCTGCTGCTGCGCTGGCAGCTGGGAGAGAAGCAGAGCGTTGGCGTATTTCAGTTCTTCCACCGCTGCTTCCGTCGCTTCTGCTGTTGTTGCTGCTGCCGTTGTTGCTGCTGTTGCTGTTTCAGCTGCTGCTGCTGTTGGGGGTGGTGGTGGTGGTGCTGCTGCTGCTGCTTCGCCAGCCACTGCTGGCAGCAGCGCCTCTAAAGCCTTGTGGGGCTGCCGCAGCAGAGCGTCGATCTGCACTCCTAGCAGCTTCCTAGGGGTGACTTGTGCTTTTGCTTCTGCTGCTGCTGCTGCAGCAATAGCAGCAGCAGAAGGCACTTGCTGCAGACGCGTCTCTCGCCTGTACGTGGAAGCAGCAACTTTAGGTCGCTGCATAAATACACCTGAGGAGACGCATGCAGAGACACCTCAACACAGCAACAGCAGCAGCAGTAACAGCAGCAGCAGCAGGAACAGCAGCAGCAGCAGCAACAGCACCAGCACTGCGGATCTGGCCGCTGCTGTGAAGGGCCACCATACAGAGACGTGCAGCAATTGCTGCTGCTACAGCTTGCTGCAGCAGGATAAGTAGCAGCAACAGCAACAACGGGAATAAAGCAGAAGCAGCAGGAACAGCCACAAGAGCAGCAACAGCAACAGCAGCAGCAACAGCAGAAGCAGCAGCAGCAGCAACAGCAGCAGCAGCAGCAACAGCAACAGCAGAAGCAGCAGCAACAGCAGCGGGAAGAGGTACCCGGAATGGCGTGGGTGGAGAGGAGGTGATGCTTCTTCTCAGCAGCAGCAGCAAATCGTGCAGCAAGATCCTCAGCTGCTTTCAGCTGCAGCAAAAGAGACAGCAAGGAGACAGTAAAATAAAAACAATAAGATAAAGAAAAGAATATAAAGATAAGAAGGCAAAATAAAAACCAGACAAACAACAAAAAGGAGACAGACAACCAACAGGAGGCAAGCATCAGCAGCAGCAGGGAGACAAGCAGTAGCAGCAGCAAAAAGACAAACAGCAGCAGCAGCAAAAAGAGAAACAGCAGCAAACCTGTCTGCCGTGTTGTATATTTTGCTGCTCTTTAAGGAGACTCTGCAGCATAGAGGAGCCCTGAAGCAGCAAACAACAATATCTCTAACTTGAGTTGCACATACACCTCAAACTGCTGTCTTCTTCTTTCTATGATGATGTTCAGCTGTACGTACACCTCAACCAGGAGAAGACAAAGAAGGAGACAGAGACAAAGAGATAAAGATAAAGAGATAGAGAGGTAAAGATAAAGAGATAGAGAGATAAGATAAAGAATATAGAGAGATAAAGATAAAGAGATAGAGAGATAAAGACAGAGACAGAGACAGACAAAGAGACAGATAGAGAAAAAGATAAAGAGACAGATAAAGAAAAAGATAAAGAGACAGAACAAGAGACAGCAGCAACATTGTGCTTCAATGCTTTACTGTCTCCTGCAGCCTTAGTAAAAACTTCTGTCTCTCCCTCATGTCTAATAAATGCATGCGGCTCAGATGCCCTCGAATACTACACAACGCACAAACAACAAAGAAACACCTGCTGCTGCTGCTGCTGTTGCTGCTGCTGCTGCTGCTGCTACTGGTACTGCTGCAGCTTTTGCTGCTGCTGTTGGTGCTGCTGGTGCTGCTGCTGCGGGATTGTAGGGTCGGAAGTCCGTTGCAGCTGCTGCTTTTACTGCTGCTGCTGCAGCAACGTAATGCAGATGCAGCAGCAACAACAACAGCAGCAGTATTATTGCTGCTGCTGCTCTTGCTTACTGTCTTTGAATAACAACTGCAGCACACGAGAGGAGAGTAAATTGCTGCTGATGTTTTGCTGCTGCTCTTATTGCTGCTGCTTTTCTTCTTGCGATGTGGCCTCTAAACGCTCTTCCTATTGCTGCTGAGCATCTCCTAAAAATAAACAAATAAATAAATAAATAAATAACTAATAAAATAAACAAAGTAAGTAAATGAAGTGTCTCCTTCGTGCGTCTTGCCGTTGCTGCCCTTCTCTATCTCTTTCTCTCTCTCTCTCTTCCTTTGTTTATTTGTTTATTTTTTGTTTGTTTTTAAATGTATTTTCTGTCTTCTGTTTATATGTTTTTATTGCTTTATTTGCTTTGTGTTGTACACAGAGAAGATTGCTAATAATAGCAGCAGCAACAGCAACAGCAACAGCAACAGCAGCAGCAAAACAAAATCAGCAGCAAAGGCTAAATACCCGCAGCAAATCAGCAGCAGCACTAGGAAAAAAGCAAAAGTAAAAGCTGCACCGAAGCAGAAACAGCAGCAAAGCGTCAACCCCAACAGCAGCAGCAAGAGCAGCAGAGCAGCAAGAACAGTAGCAGCAAAACAGCAGCACGAACAGCAGCAGCAAGAACAGCAGCAGCAGGCATCACACTCTTGAGTGTACAGACACCTCTCACTTTAGGATAAGATATTTCTGTCTGCATTGCAACCCCCGAAAAAATGCTTGCAGCTTCGTTGCTGCTGCTGTCTCTATTTCTTTTTTATTTTCTCTCTCCCTGCAGAGAAGAAGCACATTTGAACGTGCAGCAGCAGCACGAACAGCAACAACAACAACAGCAGTAGCAGCAACAGCAACAGCAGCAGCGTATTCTCTGTTTTCCTGTGCTGCTCGCAGCTGCATGCAACGCTGTCTTTCTGTCTATGGCGATGCTTAGAGGGCTGCTGTTGCTGCTGCTGCGTTTGTTAGAGACACGTCGATGCTATGTGCTGCTGCAGGGTCTGCAGAAGCAGCAGCAGAGAGAGCAGCAGCAAGCTGAACAGGTGCATTTGCTGCTGTTGAGGAGGTGTATATACACCTGAGCTGCGCGAGATACTCCTGAAAGACTTCGTCTTTGCGTCTATACACCTCAAGAAACCACATTGTTGTTTCTTTCTTCTTTTTCTTTTCTTGCTCTCTTCTCGCTTTCTTCTTGTTCTTCTTTTTATCTGTTTCTCCTCTAACTGCTGCTTTTAAAGCTGCTTCTTTGCTGCCTCTGTTGCTGCTGCAACCTTTTTTATTTTGAATAATAATAAGAGGAAAGTGTTGATTGGGAAGTCAAGAGAAAATAAACGCTTCTGATTATAACACCCGACTCGCTTATAAACCCTAAACCCTAAACCCTAAACCCTTAAACCCTTAACTCTAAACCCTTAACACCCTCAGGGAGAAGGCGGCCGCCAACAGAAGCTGCTGCAGCAAACCCTAAACGCTAAATCCTAAACACTAAACTCTAAACCCTCTAACATAAACCCTAGACCACTTTCGCGGTGTTTTTTCATAAAAGAAGTTTCTCTAACAGTCACCGGAGCTGTATGCATCACAGCCTAAATACATTTATATCTATTTTTGTGTATATTTAAATCTGTGAAAAACATTCTACATAAAATACATCCATGTATATATTCATACACATATATATATATATATATTTATATTTATATTATATACATATGTATAACAGTATATACAACCTACATTGTAAATATATTCATTACGGATGAAATGTTATGGGTACACCCCAAATATATACACCACCCAATTTTGTATAAAAACTGTTTCTTTATTATAAATACAACTGTGCTATATATATATATAGCACATATATATATATATATATATATATATATA